TCGAGTGGTCAATGCAGAGAAAATGACTGGATGATTGGTAGGTTTGCAATCTAGTAAAATATTAATGTTTATCAACTAGTGATTGAAAGGTGTAACACAGATACTGTTCACTGTTTTGTGATGTTTTCTAGACTGATTGACTAGTTGGTTAAGTTTAAGTTGTGTGATTAATCACACTGAAACAAATTGCTGCAGCGTTCATGAAAGTGTGTCCAGTGTTTCTGAACCCAACTGAATTTATTGTGTCGCTGGCATGGAGTGAAATTTACAATGTTTGAGTGTCCAAATCACATCCAAATGTTTGTTTGTTTATTTGTTTTTCACATCGTTCCCTCTCTCTCTCCCCTGTCTTCTTCTGTCTCTCTCTCAGCCCAAGGGAAGAGCAGGAGGCAGAGTGTGCTGTTTTAGTGCCGGCGATGAGATGAGGAGGACAGTGACACGTGGAGCTTGTCTGTCAGACATACATCCACTGACCCTGCCGCCTACACACTGAAGGAGTGACACACACGCACCCTGCCACATAAATACATACTGACAGGAAAAAAAAGACACACACAGACACACACACACTGCAAAATGACAACAAACCCACACAAAACTAAGGCTGAAGATTTCATTCTTAAAAATAAAGACTCAGCTCGAACCCAAACATAAAAAAGAGAAAAAAAAATGTGTGTGATGCTGGAAGAAAAGTCGGAGAGTATATGAATCTCCTTGCTGCTGCTACTACTGCTGCCCAGTATGGGGCAGTGTTCAGGATGTGAGCTGGTTTTAAAACAGACCTTGCTGTTTGAGGACGAAGGAGTCTCGAATGGACTTGAATGAAAAGAAAGAGAAAGCTGGAACCCCGACTTTCTCTTCCATGGTTTTTTCTTTCAGACTATTGCTGTATATAAAGAGACTGAGCTGTAGAACTAGAAGCTTTTTCATGCCGCACCTCAGCCTGAATCCAAACTCTAAATATTGCACCTCAACTCTAAACCCTCGCCTGATCTCTCAGCCCTTTATTACATAACCCTTAAATGCAACCAGTCTCTGCTTTTCTGTCATTGTCCGTCTTTCTCTTTTCTCTTAAAAACACACTCACATGCTGATGCTCACTTGAAAGTGTGTAGATCTTTGGAGTTTACAGAGGTAGATTTTTGCACCTTATTGTTCATTAGCGGTCCGGGTGGCTGTCATTATGATACCTCATCAAGTACACACCAGTGATATTGAAATGAAGAAGACCCAAACAGATAAACCAAAAAAACAACAACAACAAACAGTTTCACCACCCATGGACAGATATATTGCACAAATCATTACTGCAGTTAAAAACACTCAGCAATCCACATACTAGTAGTAGACATGAATTATATTTGTCACGTTCTTATATGCTGTAAAGAACACTACGCTACAAGATGCTCCTGTTTCTATACACGAGGAAGTTATCGTTGAAGGACAGAGAGGTAAAAGTGTACAAATCCTAACCTGCTTATTATTAGACACCTCCCTCCTCTTTTGCCTTGACTCAGAAGTTGTCCGGATTTGTTGTCTGATGTGCAGGTATTAATGTTGAGCTCTTCTACAAGATGTGATCAAAAAGTCCTGAGGACATGTCCATAAAAACCCAAAGAGGGCCAATCTCGCGTTGGACCGCTTTCAGCGCAGTGCAGAGGTGCACAGGAAGCTGTCTCACCGGAAGCCCAGTTCTGTTAGCCCCATACCTGTGCCTCCATGATTCATGCCGGATCTCCTTAAAGCGACGACCCTTCATCCATGGCGATTGTGCTGGTTAGCAAGACGTGATGGTACACTGGTATGCACTGCAGTTCAGATGGATTCCCCATCAGGCTCCTCAGGACGTTACAGTAGAACATTACAATAGGAAACTCCCAGTCTCACTCCTTCTCTGACACGCTGCCTTCAGAACACTCCTTGGTAAAAGCTGAAGACCCGGGTCTCATCATCAGGGTTGATCCTTTGCACAAAATCCGTGTCAGTTTGAAACAGAAGTTTATATTTTCTATTAGAAGTTTTTAGTCCATGGTGCAATCTCAGAGTGCACACTGTGTGGTCAGAACGAGACTTCAGTGGAGCGATCAAAAAACAAGAGCTGCGATGGAAGCTGATTGCACATGCCATGACCTGTATTGGTAGATTTTATTCTGGTAAGACGTTTGATTTTTATGCACAGGTTCTCAGAACATTTTGATCACACCTCGTATTTGCACCCAATTTTACCTCTTTAAATCATGAGTGGATCATCCAACATCCCCACTTTTTCCATCCCAACTCTATGTATTTTTTTAAGTTGTATATATGATCATATGTGTTACTTGTCAGAAGCAAAGATAATTCCAGGATGCTGTTCTCAGTCTTTACAGTAGGTGACTGGCTGGGGACGTGTTGCACATTCCTTGAGCTCAGGACTTATTCCTTGTGTTGTTTTGTGGATGCTGTGTTAGGTACAGATGGTCTTGTATGTTTCATCCCTGATAGAAGTGGCCTGAAACCCTTTGCAAAGCTGGCTTAAATTGTATGCAAGGTACAATTTATCAGCATCAACCTGTCGATTTCTGTCACTCGTTCTTTGTTTATTTGACCCAGATGTTGATGTTAAGAGACTAACTTACCCAAGTCTATTCTTGCCATCTCTCTAAGCATGTTTCTGTATTGAACACCAGTGGTTTTAATTGGTATATGAAATAGCTGCTGCTGAAGAAGGAATACCTCCTTTAAATTTTGCATGAGACATTATGACCTTATCGCGTGATCTCTACACCAAACACCACCTTACCATCTGGAGACCGTACACGAAGACAGAAGTGTGATGTGCAGGCAGCACTGGGACTAGATAGTTTGAATGACAAATCTGACTTATCCAATACGTGTATAATACAGCAGAAACTGTCATGTAGCGCGTCTAACTGGGCTGAGTATTTAACAGGACTTGAAGCGCTCAGACACACTGTTGTTTCATGCTGTTATTATTACAGGCTGCCATAAAACAACAACAACAAAAGAAAAATAGGACCAAAGTAAGTCCTCCAAGCACCAGGTGTTCAAGCACACAACTGTTTCACACACCCAAATCTGCTGACATGTTAACATGTACTGTATCTGTGAGATGGCCTGTGATTTTAGTTTGGATTTTCCTGTACCTCGGGCACTGACAGGGTCATTTCTGCATCTTTCTTAATTTTTTATAAAACTGATTCAGAAAATGATCACATGTCAGTAACTGTCAGAAGGACTACTTATTTTCCCAGAGTGTGACAGTATGTAGCATGTACATAGATGGTCCCCCACTCTGTATATACAAAAGTGTACAGGTTTGATACAGCTATTAACATTCTGGCTTTTTTTGGGGGGGGGCTTCAGTCATAGCAATATTTCTGTAATCAATAAAGCCATGGTACTAGGATGGGTATGATTGCATTTGTGTTTATTTAGGAAGGCGTGAGAGACTGTGAATGATCAAACTGTGACATAACTTATCACAGGTTTAGTTGTTTTCTGTTCTACATGCTGGATCCAAAAGGCTGAAATGAAGTATCATGTTGCAAAATGAGTACAAGACACTGATGATTTTGATTGATTTTATTTTATGTTTTTCAATCAATGAAAGCCATAAAGGTTATATAGAAGGACAGACCTTAAGAAGCAAAGAGGATGTGTATACCTAATAAAAAATTAAAAATCATGTAATTACTTTTTTCTTGTCTTAAATCTTTTGAATATACGTTACTATCAAGTGTTCTTTACTATTACTTTCACAGGGTTTTAGCAGTTTGCTGCAAAACATAAATTTCTAGTTTAGCTTTTGCCTGTATTTCTTCATTGTGAAAATTAAGGTCCACTTTGTTAGCTACACCTATTTAACTGTTAGTTAATGCAGCTATCTAATCAGCCAATCACATAGCGGCGGCTCAATGCAATTATTCATGTAGACATGATCAAGACGACCTGTTGAAGCTAAACCGAGCATGAGAATGGGGGAAGAATGATTTAAGTGACTCTGATTGTAGCATGAAGCACCAGATGGGCTGGTCAGAGTAATTCACAAGCTGCTGATATTTGTGTACATAACCATCTCTAGGGTCGACAGAGAGTGGTCCAAAAAAAGAGAGTGAGCAGCAGTTCTCTGGGAGAAAATACCTTGTTGATTCCAGATGTAGGAGGAGAATGGACAGGTCGCTTCAAACTGGCAACAGTAACCTAAATAACTGATTGTTCTGCCAGCTAAGAACAAGCAACAGTAACTCAGATACCAAGGCATGCTGAAGAGCGTCTCTGAATGCACAAAACACATTGAACGTTGAAGCAGATTGGCTACAGCAGCGGGAAACCACACCAGGTGCTACAGTTTGCACATGTTCACCAAAATTGACTGGAAAGACTTTGTCTGGTTTGATGTGTCTTGATTTCGTCTGCAGCATTCAGGTGTCAGGGCCAGAAACAACATGTAAACCTTGATTCATCCTGCCTTGTATCAACAGCTGATGTGCATAGTGGCAGTGTAACTTGGGGTCTGAGTGTATTCATCTTCTGATTACTGCTCACACCATGTCACAAAGCTCAGATCATATCAAACTGGTTTCTTGATCATGACAAGTTGACTGTACTCAGATGGTTTCAATCTAACAGAGAAACTTTAAGATGAGGTCTGATGGGAAATTCGCATTATGGATGTACAGCTGTCAAATCTGCATTAACTGTGTGATATTATCACGTCAATATGGACCAAAATCTCTGAGAAATGTTTCCTCTATGTTGAATCTATGCCACAAAAAAATCAAACCACATCTGAAAGCAAAAGAGGCGTACCCAAAAAGTGTGCCAGTGTTTCAGCCAGGAGAGATAATTCAGGTCCTGACTGACAGACTGAGGTAAACAGAGGCTATTTTGCTCACATATGTGAGGTTTTATCTTTTAAATAATGTCTGTAAACAAACTGTGAGTTGTGCAATCTCTATTCTTGATTAATGTAACTGTATTTTTATTCTTTAAAAGAGATAAAAAGCAATGACAGCATCTACAATATCAATGACAGAGGACAAGAAAGATGTTGTGCTGTTGTCTGAATACATTAAAGGTTATGACAACAGGAAAGAAGCCTGCCTGAACAGGGAAATCTTTTTTTTATTATTATTATTACTGCTGCTTTTATTACTGTTATTTTTTATGCCTTAATACATAAGATTTGTGCAACCTTCTTGCTCATTGCATCATTTTTACTCTCTGATATTTTGTTTACATTTGTGAAAACCATCTTGCACTACATTGCAGAGGTTGATAATGAGAACAGTGAGACTATAATAATTTCTACACATTTCTATTCCAAAGATTTTTTAGGCACAATTTTCTTGGGGGTCTTGATGAAAAACGGAACTGTGGTCTCGTTCTCAGATGTTTGCGGCTCAGAGGACCAGGGGTCCCATCCACACAGAACCGCAGCAACAGTGTAGCCTCGAAACTGGAAACACACGATCATGGTTGGTCATGAACATACAGCATGAGCCTGAATTCCTCTTTTTCTTTGTTTGTATGTGTGAATTTAAGTGTACTTCAAACCAGCTTACCTGTCTGTTCATGAAAATGTATATGATGGGGTTGTAGACAGTGCTGCTTTTTGCAAAGTACACAGGAATGGTAGCGATGACAGGGTCAACATATAGACTGGAGTCTATCATGACAGCAAGTGCAAGCGCAGCATATGGCAGCCAGGTGACTAGGAAGGCCAGCACCATCACTACTATCATGCGTGCCACCTGCACCTCTACATGACTTGTGCTTCCTGTTTCAGATACCTGCAGCTTGGTTACCTAGGAAAAAAATTCAAGCGCAGAGGACTCCTTTATGTTTTCAGTACAATCAACAAAAATATATGGTGTGCGCAGCCTTTGTTGCTCACCTGGCGGAGAGTCCATAAAAGCCGCGAGTAAGAAACCATGACGACAGAAAAGGGCAAGGCAAAGCAAAGGAAGAAGAATATTATCATGTAGGACATGTCCCCAACATCACAGCTATGCCATTTAGGAGCACAGGAGGTTTTGACGCCCTCCAACTCAAAAGTTCCCCACCCGAACAGAGGTGGAGTGCTCCACACAAATGACCACACCCAGGACAGTACCACTCCAGCAACTGCATGCCTAAGGACAACAGAGATGGTGTCTGACATGCTTGGTACAGCAAGGAACATTCCCAAGTGAGATCTTGATGGTCACTGCTGTACCTGGTCTGGAAGAGGACCGCACCCATGGGATAACACACCACTACGTAGCGTTCAACAGAAATGACTGCTACTGTGCACAGACTTGCTATACCTGCAAGAAAAGACAGAATAATTTATGACTTTTGCTTTCTAAGTGTTGCATTTGTGCGCACTATTGAGACACCTGTCCTATACCTGAGTGCTACATTTCAAGGAAGAAATGCTAATCTTAATTCAATGACAATAACTATAGTTTTAAATTTTAGTTTCCACATTAGATTTTACATAAATACATGAAATACAGTACATAATGTAACTAAAAACAAAAGCTTCCCTTCAAAATATCTTAAATAATTCATTTTAAGTAACTATTTTTAAGCTCAAAAAGTTCAAAAGCAGTCATGAGAAAATGAAAGTTTCCACAGACTGTGTGCATTTGAAATACTAAGCAAGGTCTGGACTTTGACCAGGTCACTACAGCACCTCGACTCGTTTCTTTTTCAGCCATTCTGTTGTAGATTTGCTGCTGTGCTTGGACACATTTATCTGTGGCATGACCACATTGTGGCCAAGCTTTAGCTGTCAGACTGACATTTGTCTCAACAATGCTTTGGTATACAGCTGCAAAACAAATACAAATCATCACCTCTTCACCACTGTGATTAACAGCTGGTATGAAGTGTTTGTGCCAATATGCTATATTTGGTTTTCACCACTGTGCAATATATATGCAGACATGTCAAATATAGTCTTATCTGTCCAAAGGACACTGTTCCAGAAGTCTTGTGTTTTTGTGAGTGCGCCCCAGGGTGGCTGTGGCTACAATGTAGCTTGCCATCACCAGTGTGTGAATGTGTGCGTGAATGGGTGGATGACTGGATATGTAAAGCGCTTTGGGGTCCTTAGGGACTAGTAAAGCGCTATATAAATACAGGCCATTTAGGCCATTTATTCAGATGCAGTTTTGCAAATCTTACATAAAATAACAAAATTCCCTTCAGGTGGTTTTACTTGAGGTACTTTTACTTGTACTAGAATACATTAAGGTATTTCTTCTTTTGTTTATGTGAGGAAAAAGAAAAAGTAGACTCACCGAAAAAGGAAACAGCAAAGGCTTCTAACACACAGCCCACACGTCCCAGGTTGAAGTATCCCATGGCGCTGGTTACTGTGGTGGGCAGGCCTCCAAACACAGCACAGCCCAGGTCACAAACAGCTAGGTTAACCAGGGCATAGCTGAGTGGCTGCCTCAGCTGTCTGTGCTTCACCGTCACCACAATCACCACGACATTGAGGATGATCCCTGCCGCAGAGAACACACCCATGATAACGGCCAGAATTGTGTAACCAGTCCGGGACAAGAGCTCCGTGTTGGCTGAGCTGTTAGATGATGAAGAGTTTCTGTGGAAGGCAGCACTCTCCATTTTGCTCTGTGAAGATCAGGAGAAGAATATGGTCACAGTGTGAAAAACCTCAGTGATGCCTGGTAAGAAACAACAAACAAAAAAGTGTCAGATCCAACACGTCTAACTCTAAAATGGCCACATTGTCAGCAAGGCAAAGAAAGAGCAGGTTCAGGTATGTGTTTAGTATTTTTTTAATCATTTGGTAAATAATGTAGCAATCAGAACAACTACAAAACTGTTCAACAGATACTGCGTGCTTGATATTCTGAGAGGGAAGCGAGGCCCTCTAAATAAGCCCAGTAAGAGGAGAGGAGGCCGCAGATGATTTGCAATTCTCAGAAAACAAAATCCGCCGAGCCGGATTGTGGAGAGAATAAGTCTGTCTGATAGCCTCTAAGACTGCACTTTCCATGATTGCTCAATTTGCAGCTGCTAATAATGATGCAAAACGTTCATACAGGATCGACCGATATGTCTACAGAATTCCCGCTGGTTTGTCACACATTTTGGAGCCAATAATGGAATAAACTGGTAGTTTATGGATACCTATCCCTACCTTTTTATGTTCTCTTGTTAAAAACTAATGAGATGTTAGCCTGATTGAGTTACTTAATGACACAAAGAGTGGCTTATTTGAGAATGAGCTCAGTGTCAGTGTCTCTGTTTATAATCATCCTTAATACCTACACAACTCTGAATGAATGAATCCATAAAGCTAAAAAAGAAAAGGTGCAATAAAAGAAAAAAAATGACATTGTGATTTGTTGAATGAAATTCACCTTGAAGATACATTTTCTGCCCAACAGATCTATGGATCCATTTAGAAAAAAGCTCTTTACTAATCACTAATATATTGCTCCCCAAAACTACAGGGAGTGCAGAATTATTAGGCAAGTTGTATTTTTGAGGAATAATTTTATTATTGAACAACAACCATGTTCTCAATGAACCCAAAAAACTCATTAATATCAAAGCTGAATGTTTTTGGAAGTAGTTTTTAGTTTTAGCTATTTTAGGGGGATATCTGTGTGTGCAGGTGACTATTACTGTGCAGAATTATTAGGCAACTTAACAAAAGACAAATATATACCCATTTCAATTATTTATTTTTTACCAGTGAAACCAATATAACATCTCCACATTCACAAATATACATTTCTGACATTCAAAAACAAAACAAAAACAAATCAGCGACCAATATAGCCACCTTTCTTTGCAAGGACACTCAAAAGCCTGCCATCCATGGATTCTGTCAGTGTTTTGATCTGTTCACCATCAACATTGCGTGCAGCAGCAACCACAGCCTCCCAGACACTGTTCAGAGAGGTGTACTGTTTTCCCTCCTTGTAAATCTCACATTTGATGATGGACCATAGGTTCTCAATGGGGTTCAGATCAGGTGAACAAGGTGGCCATGTCATTAGTTTTTCTTCTTTTATACCCTTTCTTGCAGCCACGCTGTGGAGTACTTGGACGCGTGTGATGGAGCATTGTCCTGCATGAAAATCATGTTTTTCTTGAAGGATGCAGACTTCTTCCTGTACCACTGCTTGAAGAAGGTGTCTTCCAGAAACTGGCAGTAGGACTGGGAGTTGAGCTTGACTCCATCCTCAACCCGAAAAGGCCCCACAAGCTCATCTTTGATGATACCAGCCCAAACCAGTACTCCACCTCCACCTTGCTGGCGTCGGACTGGAGCTCTCTGCCCTTTACCAATCCAGCCACGGGCCCATCCATCTGGCCCATCAAGACTCACTCTCATTTGATCAGTCCATAAAACCTTAGAAAAACCAGTCTTGAGATATTTCTTGGCCCAGTCTTGACGTTTCAGCTTGTGTGTCTTGTTCAGTGGTGGTCGTCTTTCAGCCTTTCTTACCTTGGCCATGTCTCTGAGTATTGCACACCTTGTGCTTTTGGGCACTCCAGTGATGTTGCAGCTCTGAAATATGGCCAAACTGGTGGCAAGTGGCATCTTGGCAGCTGCACGCTTGACTTTTCTCAGTTCGTGGGCAGTTATTTGGCGCCTTGGTTTTTCCACACGCTTCTTGCGACCCTGTTGACTATTTTGAATGAAACGCTTGATTGTTCGATGATCACGCTTCAGAAGCTTTGCAATTTTGAGACTGCTGCATCCCTCTGCAAGATATCTCACTATTTTTGACTTTTCTGAGCCTGTCAAGTCCTTCTTTTGACCCATTTTGCCAAAGGAAAGGACGTTGCCTAATAATTATGCACACCTGATATAGGGTGTTGATGTCATTAGACCACACCCCTTCTCATTACAGAGATGCACATCACCTAATATGCTTAATTGGTAGTAGGCTTTCGAGCCTATACAGCTTGGAGTAAGACAACATGCATGAAGAGGATGATGTGGACAAAATACTCATTTGCCTAATAATTCTGCACTCCCTATATATGTGATTACATTTGCAATTTCTTGGCATGGTGAAAAACCTCAATGAATAATTCATCCTTTTTAAGAGTTAAGACACTAACTAACATTGGCTGTAACCTCATCAAAAGACAGTTTCCTGCACTGATCTGTTAAAGGCCATCAATAAGAACTTTTGGGTTATTGACCTTTTGCCATAAATGAATACTTCTGTACTGTTAATGCAAAGAGATCTCAACATGTAATTCTCCAACCAATACCAATTCATTATTTCCATTGTCTGAGACCGAACTCTATCCTCCAAGAAGATAATGCTCGGCCTCACAGAATGAGGTTTATCAGAGACTATCTTCAGAGTTCAAGAGTGGGCATGATAGAATAGTGTGCCTGCAGTCCTGACATCAACCCCATTGAACACTTCTGGTGTCAACTTGGGTGTGCTGTTCGTGCCAGAGTCACCAACACTGACACATTGGCTGACTTGCAACAAATGCTGCTTAAAGAATGGGATACCATCCCACAGCAGTACGTGACCAAGCTGGTGACCAGCATGAGGAGGAGGTATGGTTCTCAGATGGTTCTTCCACATGCTACCAAATGAATAAACCATTAAATTGCTAATATGCCTCTTCAGACTTCAAAAATTCAATCCCATAAACTGCACCAAACAAGATTCAATAGCAGAATACTTTCTTTGGCATTGGGAGAGAAGATTTTGCAAGTTTTTCATGGGCACAGCCCACATAGTCAACTCTGCTGCTCAGCCCACAAATGCATTTTCCTTAAAAATTTAGCACCACTAAGGGGGAAATAAACAGGGTTTCCAACCATATACGATTTATTGCCAAAAAGTGTGTAATCGACCAATCACACCCAGATGATTGTGCAGAGAAATTAATTCCCCCTCCGCATCGCTAGAGGGGGCTAAAGCGCAGCTGTGGCTCTGCTTTTTTTACCCGGGTCACCGGCAGTGAACAGCACAGCAAACATGGCTACCTCCGTGAGGAAAGCAGCTCACGATATCGAAGCGCGAAAACGGACCGAAGACGTGATTCTGTCGGAGGGGATCGACTTCGGCTCCTTGCTGCTGTCTCAGCCCGTGTTGGACGGACTGTCCGCCGCGGGATTTCAGAAGCCGTCTCCGATCCAGCTCAAGGCGATCCCGCTCGGCCGCTGCGGACTCGGTGGGTGCAGAACAAAACTGCGGGAGGGTCCACATGTGTGTGTGCTGGGGGCAGGAATATTAAAGTTTTCAGTGTATAAAACTTATAATTGATTTTTATAAGAAGAGCAACAAAATACCTTATGTATGCACGCGAAATAAAACCACTAACTTACATTAGTGCATTTACATACATCAGGGATCAGAATCTGTCTGTTAACCATCAGTTATAATTTGCATGTCTGCTCAGATACATGACTGGCACTATAGTTAAGATTTTTATTATTATTATTATTTTTTTTTTACAGCTTTTTAAAGTATTTTAATTTTTTGTTGCAAAGCATACTGGTCGTAAATATTTAGACGCACATGATTAATGTGATGTGACATATTATGCCTCATAAATCCATCCATCCATTATCGTCCGCTTATCCAATGCATCTCCTCATAAATATGAAATGAAAAAATACTGTTATCACTATTATTACTGCAATCAAAAAACACACTTATGGGCAAATTTATGCAGATTATTAATCTAGGACATAAAACTTGGCTGTGGGTAATCAGGTAGCGCATCTACTAACTGGGAGGTTGGCGGTTCGATTCCCAGCTCTTCTAGGCTTATTAAAAGAACGTAATGTAAAAAGGTTATTACATTTGATATCATGGCAGTAGAGACAAACCATCGTGTATCTGATCTAAAAATCTGTTTGTACAATAGCTGGGTGTGTTAGAGTTAGGTTCGTTAGTATTTGGACACTGATGCTTTTTTTGTGAATTTTAAATCAAATTGTCAAAATGTATTTGAAGGGAAAACGTTCAGCTTTAATTCAGAGGTTTGACAAAAGGATGAGCAGTAAGACCCCAGACCCTAAACAGCTGGTTTAGGAAGAATTCCCACTTTCTTTGCCCTCTGAAACTCTCAGGTTGCTTCTGCTGTATGCTCTGAGTCATTTTCCGTTTGCATTGTGATGCAGTGCTCCATCAGTTTTGCAGCACTTGGAGGAATCTGAATTCCCCTTTACACTTCAAGGTACATCCTGCTCCTGCTACCAGCATGCACATCGTCAGTAAACACTCGAGGTCCAGATTCACAGGCAGCCATGCATCCCTGCGATTTCACAGTCGTAGTTTGTAACATTAACTCCGCCCTCTTTGACAGATGGTGCCTCTGATTCTCGAACACTTAACGCAATACTTCTGTTGAACCCCTTGAAATAAGTTTGAAAGTCACATCTTCATCAAATCAAATCAAATCACTTTTATTGTCACATCACATGTGCAGGTACATTGGTACAGCACATGTGAGTGAAATTCTTGTGTGCGAGCTTCACAAGCAACAGAGTTGTGCAAATACAATAATGTAAACAAGCAAAATACAAGAATGGCTACATCTGAAACTAATAAATATATGTACAATATATAATAGTATATGCATTTCTGGATGTGTATACTAAATATTTTTCTACGTGTGTGTGTGTACACATATTTTACAAATTAAATAGAGTAAACAATAAATAAAATATATAAAATAAAATATACAGAGTTGAATATGTGCAAAACAGTGGCGTTACTGTACAGTATGGAGTGCATAATGTTAAAGTTCCAGTAGTGAAGCTGAGGTGTCTATGACGTGTTCAGCAGTCTGATGGCCTGATGGAAAAAGCCGTCTCTCAGTCTGCTGGTACGGGACCGGATGCTGCAGAACCTCCTTCCTGATGGAAGTAGTCTGAACAGTTTATGACTGGGGTGACTGGAGTGGACATGAAATCCACTGTGAGGTGTACACAGGGAAAAAGAACTTTGTGTAACTGTCCGAATATTTATCGACTAACTGCAGAGGTCTGCTATATTATTAGTTTAGAAAAGGGTTTAATATGGCCCCGCAACTTCAGCTGTACTCCAAAAATTGTTTTTACTCTGAATAATTCAATCATGTATTACATTTTAATGTAGTTCCTTATAAAAATTCTTCATACAATATCAAATTACACATTTTCAGCTTCTGTTTCAATAATATGTATTTCATCTGTGTAATATTCTGGATATTCATAACTGAGCTATATATTAGAGAGTTTCTTCTATTTTGTGAACTTTTAGTTCGGTCTGTTACCGTTGTTATTGTCTTGGAGCAACTGTAACCACATAATTCTTTAGGGAATAATAAAGGATTCTGATTATGATATCTGATGAGTCCAAATCTAGTTGAATTACGAAACAGTAGAGCAGCTTAGCTTGGGTTAAAAATGCTCATCGGATGGACTCCTTTTTAATCCTCATAGCTTTCATGGTATTGGAAATGGTGGCAAAACATTATTACTATTTTTAGGAATATTGCTTTTGTTTTGTTCAATAATCACAGAAATTTATTGTTAGAAAAATCAAGTTTCCATCTACTGTAGCTGTACTACACTCAGACTGTACACTGACTTTTGTTGTGAACTTGCCTCAAAGCCGTGGTCAAATGTGAACAAATCTTTTAGTTCTAAAGGATATTTAAAAGTATTTTATTTTGAAAAGCTCGAAACAACTACATTAGTTGAAAAGTGGTCATTTTTTTAAATCATTTGCAGAGAAAACAGTTTAAGTATTTTAGTCCTTCTTTTGACTATCATAGATACCACAACTGTTCATCATGGTGCTAAATCACTCTTGGGGATCAAAAGCGTTTATTGCTTTTAAACATTTTACAGCCTTTACGAGGTACAAATTCAGAATAGTTGCTTTCCACTTGGAGGTTGCCCGTGTGTTGAAAAAGCTCTCGGCTGCAGCGGTGATGCAGAATGTGCTTAACTCATTCACTGCCATTGACGTCTATAGCCGTCAATTGCAGTGAATGAGTCAATGGGTTTAACTCATTCACTGCCAATGGCTGGCAGTGAATGAGTTAATTTCATTGTACTTGAGGTAAACACTTGTTAATTTAAACCATGGTGGGAGACAATTGATTTGATGCTGAGGATTAGGCAGCAGTACTTCACCCAGTCATGGTAATTAACTGCTGATGCCAAAACTGTCATTTGCCAGCCCTGTTGTGCATCGCTCACTGAGTCTCTTCTTTTAGATTTGATTGTGCAGGCCAAGTCTGGGACAGGAAAGACATGCGTGTTCTGCACCATCGCCCTGGACTCTCTGGTCCTGGAGAATCCTTCAACTCAGGTCAGCGTAATATTTGATTATGAGGATATGACCTACGTTTGCTCTCGGACGGTTAAAGTAAAACGTCATCAGAAGAGGGAAAGGGGAAGTTTTATTATTTAATCATTTCATGACCAGCAGATGGCCTTCTGCTGAATTTAAGCTGCTTAGTGTCAAATGCATGAATGAAAGGGAAGAATGATTGATAAAGACGAGGTACACCTGGTCTTGTAGAACAAATGTAATCTTATTAGCTCTGGGGTCTTACTGTTCATCCTTAATCTTCTCCCAATCGAGTATAAGCCTTTTTGTTTTTTTCATTTTGGACACTTTTCCCTCCTGCAGGTTCTCGTGCTGGCTCCGACACGTGAGATAGCAGTGCAGATCCACTCGGTGGTCATGGCCATAGGCTGTGCCATGGAGGGCCTGGAGTGCCATGTTTTCATTGGCGGCAGGCCTGTGAGTCAGGACAAAACCCACCTGAAGAAGTGTCATGTAGCCGTGGGCTCACCTGGTAGGAACCCGGGATAGTAGTCGGCAGTGCCACGTCACGTAATTGCCACGCCGCTGTTGTTTTTGTTCGGTAACAGTGTTCCGGTTGTGTGCTCAGGTCGCATCAAGCAGCTTATCGAGTTGGGCATGTTGTCAACGGCCAGCATCAGACTGTTTGTTCTGGACGAGGCAGACAAGCTGCTGGAGGAGGGCAGCTTCCAGGAACAGATAAAGTATGAGGATACAATTTCTGTGATTATACTCCTATTAAATGAGCAGCAGGCCGCTGTAGCGAGCAAGCAGTACATTTAGACTGAAGCCGTTTATATATCGTGTCGTAACCACATTTACAAACCAACATAACCTAAAGTTCACCCATCATCCTGGTCCTCTTTAGCTGGATCTTCTCCTCGCTGCCTGTGAACAAACAGATGCTCGCACTCTCCGCCACCTACCCAGAATCCCTTGCTCAGCACCTCACCCGCTACATGAGAGAGCCCACCTTTGTACGGCTAAATCCAAGTGATATGGGCCTGAAAGGTAAGACCCACTTTAATAAATGGAAAAGATAAAGATTCCTGAGTTTTGGCCTCTCTTGACATTTTCTAATGTATTTAAATTGCTGTCATAGCAACAGAGACTCTGCATAATAAGACTGCATGGATAACCAAGTCTGCAAACTGACATGTTTGATGGGATTATTTCCTGACAGAAGATTCTTGGGGAATGAGATATGATTGACAGTAATAAGGCTAAGTTAAAAACACTCTCTGTGCTTATTTTGAGTGAATGTCAGAAAATGGATTTATCTGTAGCTCAGAACTCGAGCCTTTTAATTCACACACATCACTGACAGAGCACGTCCTGCTCGAAGGACCAAAGTTGTTAGGTCAGGTTGAATTAATGACAGCATGTATGTCGTCCTTGTGTCGCCCCCTGTCAGGTCTGAAGCAGTATTACAAGCTGGTTCAGTCCCATCCGTTACCTCACAAGGTTTTTGAGGAGAAGGTGCAGCACTTGCTAGAGCTGTTTAGTAAAATCCCCTTCAACCAAGCGCTGGTGTTTTCAAACCTACACACACGGTATGTGATTGCATTTAATGCCAAGAAAAAGTATATTTTTTATACTTGTTTTATATAGAATGCATTAGATCTGAGGATTAATTATTTTAAAAAAAGCTTTCTCAAATGCTAATGTGATGAATTGCTACCACAGGGCTCAGCACCTGGCAGACATCCTGTCCTCCAAAGGTCTGCCTGCTGTTTGCATCTCTGGTAAGACTGCTTTATGTAATGTAATGTTAGGATGAGTCAATAAAAATGGTAATACTGTGAAAAATCAGGTAATTGATTTGAGGCATTTCTATACTGGTATACCAGCTGCTTTTGAATTTTAGACATTGGAATTCATTCATTTCTTGACTTTATTTCTTTGGCCAGGTGGTTTATGATTTGCAGTGTTGCCTGGCAACGTTTCAGTGCACATATTTAAAATGACCTTCATACAGTGTTGTGAATGTGTGTATTTTTAATGCTTCCGTGCCAGCGACTTTCAGTTGACGTTATCAGATTTAATGAGGTGTCGTGTCTGGCCTCTGCAGGTGGTCTGAGTCAGGACCAGAGACTGGAGGCAATGTCAAAACTGAAGCAGTACCAGTGCAGGGTGCTCATCTCCACTGACCTGGTGAGATGCAGAAACCTTCCATCTTTCCACACATCTACGTGAATTTTTCGAAATCATTTTTCTGTTAGCCTAATAACTTTGAGTAATCTTTGTGTTTCACAATTTCAGACTTCAAGAGGTATAGATGCAGAGAAGGTCAACTTGGTGATAAACCTGGATGTGCCGCAGGATTGGGAAACTTACATGCACAGAATTGGACGAGCTGGACGTTTTGGTTAGTGTGCAGCGCTGCTTTAGAGGCAGCGAGAGCAAGCATTGTTTGACATTCAGCATTTTCACCTTGTCACATCACCAAGTCAGGCAGCACAGGTGGCTAATGGCACCGCAGCAGGAAAATATGTTTGAAGAGAAATTGCATCATTTTTTTTATTTTTTTTGTAGAATTGATTCTCCCTCCATCTCACATTTTGGAAGAAACACTATTCTTTAGATGTGCAATTAGCTTGATGCGAAACACAGACTAGAATAGCTCCGGGAAAAATATTACTTAGAGTTTACAAATTGATGAAAAGGTTAGTTATGCTGCTTTCAATTTGAGTGGCCATTCACCGGCACATTGTCAACATTGTCCTAAAATAAAATAAAAAAATGTTGCAAAGCTTTTTCTTCTGGTGGCATATGTCTTTGACCTAGACTGATGTTTTTTTATAAATAATTTAGCAAATTCTTTTCTCTCTGAATCAATAGCATTTTTGGCCCAACCACCAAAGGCAGAACGTTCCCAGTCATTTGCATTTAATTGCATTTAACTTTTTTTTCCCAGAATTGAGGTTATTCAATCTTAGCTTCTGTACGCTCTCTAAGTGCACGTGTGTTTGTGTGCAGCTGCCATCCCATTATACGCGACTCTTGCATTCATCTTTATCCCTTCCTGTTATTTAAGTGGGTCCTCATCCAGATTACATTTTGCTTGTAGGCACTCAGGGACTGGCTGTGACCTACTGTTGCCATGGCGAGGAGGAGAACAAGATGATGGCCATCGCTCAGAAGTGTGGCCTTAGTTTGTCTGCGCTGCCATGTGAGTCCCTGTTCACGTCTCTGTGGGGCTTTTACATGCAGCACGCACAACTTTTCTCTTCATGTCTACTTTTGATTCAATATTAATCGGTAAAAGTCATTCCGGTCTCATCTGTCTGCTGTCATTTTAGCCACGATAGAGCCCAGGTTGATGGATGAGCCGTGCGACTGGGATGTCTGCACTGAAGCGTCCACTCCAGACCCGGTATCCCGGCTGTTTCCCAGAGCAGAGAAGAAAAGACGTGCAAAGCCTGACGTCTCTGTGTCTGATTGCATTGAGGATCGAGCTGTGGAGCCCGGCAGTCAAAGAAAGCCAGAGAAGAAGCATCCAACGCCCAGGCGAGAGGCAGTCTGTGAAGAGGATGCTAGAAAGATATCTTCCACAGAGGATACTCTGCCTGCTCAGGTGACACAGACTCGAAAAGAGCTCCAAGACAGTCTGCCGAAGATCCCTCCTCTCAGCTCGTTTAAGCACTGCAGGTCAAAGTTTGTGACCTTTGAGGAGGCCGAGTGGGACTTCCAGGACTTCATCACTACAGGTCCGGGGAGATCGGTGGAGATCATCAGAGAGTTCAGAGGCAGAGAGGATGGTGAACCCAGCGATCAGAATGGGCATAAGGAGTATCTTACACTTGATGATGATGGAGCGCAAATGTTTACACAAAATGTCGAACAGCTTAAATCTAACTTTTCACCTCCAAGGTCCATCTCTGGTTCTTCCAGTTCTGAATCTGACATGGAAGATGATGCGACACTGGAAAGTTCAAATGAGACCACAGGAGCTGAGAACAGAGCTGTCACTAAGCCTCAGATTGCAATGACACATCCACCTTCTCCACCCACACAACAAGCAAGCCCCACCAAACCCAAGGCTTATACTCCTCCTCCACTCAGAAACTCTGACCAGACACTGTGTGCAACACGTGGGAGAGCTGTGCCTCCTCCCAATAGCCGGGAATCTGCATTGAGCATTAAATCAGGCAGGCGAACCAATCAGACAGCTCCGGCCCCAGCACGCCGAGAAGAATCAAAAAAGATGAAAAAAGAGACTGAAAAACAGAAAGAAAAGATGGAAAGGGACCGGAAGAGGGAGAAGAAGGAAGACGGAGATTGCACTGACAAAGAGGACGAGTGGTGTGCTGAAACGTACTGGAGAGCCTGCTACAGCGCCTGGAATGATTACTACGCCTCCGTGTCCCCGTTTCAAGAGCAAGGCTACCAAAGCTACTATAATGTAGCCTACAACTGGATGGCAGCTTATCGTATGAACGCCGTCTACATGGAAGAACTGATGAGAAAATGAGTTGTGGATACCGTGACCAGGCTTTTTTTTTTTTTTTTAAATCATCCTGTTTTCCAAACATAAAGTGTCTTTACTGCGCCACTTGATTCATATTTGCACTTTGGCTAGTATACGTTTTTTTCCCCCATAACATGTTGGTGTCATAAATACTTTTCTAATAAATTACACACGTTTTGTTTTTTCCCAGTCAAGTTGTGATGTAAAAAGTAAATTTCAAGTGCAGTACTGTGTTGGCCTCTGTGCGTCTCTCCTGACGGTATGCCCTCTTAGACTCACTGCAGTATTCTGCTCTAAAATGGATTTGAAGAGGATTACCTGATAGTTCTTGACTACATTAAAAACCATTTCAAAGATGATCTTTAGTCCCTGGAGTAAAAGCATGTTAGACCCACCCAGGTCCCAATCATCTGCATTTAACTGTAATCATCTTAATCTAGCATGTGTGTTCTTCATATTGGAAGGTGATTTAATCTTCCAAACGCTGTCGGAGTGAGTAAGTGTGCATGTGCAGCTGCTTTATTCTGTTTAAACGGGTCCTCATGAAGATTATATTTTGTTTGTCGGCACCAGTGCTGGCTGTAATTACTGTTGCCATGGTGCCTGGTTTGTATGACTTGTAGAGAGTCTTGAGCCATCCCTCATTTCTTTACATCTTGCTAGAAAAACTGGAAATATGTGCAGTGGTGGATAGAAATATAAATGCAAATGCAGCATGTAAGGCATAAAACATATTTTGTACAATTCTGTGAAGCTGGAAAGTTAATATTTGGTGTGACCACCTTTAATTTTCAACACAGAATGAACTCTCTTAAGCAAGCCTTCTTGTAATTTCTTTGAGTACTCTTCAGGAAAAGTTCTCCAGGCTTCTTGAAGGACATTCAAAACTCTTCTTTGGTTGCTGGCTGTCCTTCGCTTTGTTCTCTGTTAAACACACCAGGTCAGTAATGTTGAGGTCCGGGCGGTGGGGAGGCCAATCCATGACTGATGGTGCTCCATTGTGTGTGTGTGTGTGTGGTTCCCCCCCCAAAGATGTTCAGTGTGGTTCTTGTGTAATCTGGCATACCTTTGTCTTCTCATTTTCCTTCTTGGCTTTTTGGTGTGAAATAGTAGCTTGAAAATATAATTTTTATGGGCATTTAATTATTAAACTCTGGCATAGTGAGTCTTTTGTCCAGTCACCCTCTGCTCTTGGTTACGTCCGCGCTAGCCCGGATAGATTTGAAAACAGCGTTTTCGTCTGAATACGCTCTGCGTCCACACCATCGTTTTCAGTTATTTTCACAGAGTTGTGCATCCACATTGAAATAGCCAAAAACGCTTATGTTCCAGTACTACGCATGCGTGAAGCACAATACGATTCGACCTGCCTCATTTATGTCTGCCGTTCATTTACTTTCTGGCTCGTTGAAACGTCGCGGCAAAAGGTCAAGGAAAAGCACTGGGATTTTTGTTGCTGCGGGTAACTCAAAAGTACAAAGTTGCAAAAGCGAGTTAAAGATTATGAAGAAAAGCTCTCTGAAGCATGTACAGACTGATAGGGCTGTCAGAATTGAGAGCAAACAAAACAACTGCTGTATAACACCCTCCGCTATCTTAGTTTAATTGGTCACTTGACTGCATCACATGACTAAAATGTGTCATCGTTTTGAAAAAGTCTCAATTTTCGCTGTCCACACTGCGACGCGAAAGCACCGTTTTCAAATGTGTGCGTTTTCGAGAGCGTTTTCAAAACGCGTTTTCCTTGAGCGAAAACGCCATCTCAGTGTGGTCGGGAGGCCAAAACGGAGTGAAAACGATGCGTTTTCAAACGAAAACACATTAGTGTGGATGTAGCCCTCGTCTCTTTCCACTCACCCACAACCGGTTGCAGCAGATTGCTGCCTTTTCCTGGGCCTGGTTCTACTGGAGGTTTCTACCTGTTAAAGTTGACTTTTTCCTTCCCACAGTTGCCATACTGCTCATAGAGAACTGGAAACCGTCATCAACTGGGACTGTTGTGGAGGGCTGTGCGAATGAGCTTATAAAGGGATAAAATTAATTTAGTAGTCTGGCCCTCCACACCAGTCCCAGTTCCTGACGTAGGCCCTTATTAAAATAAACTGCCCACTCCTGTTGAGAGCCTTAAGGTGACTGTTGTTGTGATTTGGTGATGCATAAATAAAGTAAAACTGAACTCAATGGACTCCCAGATTAAGTAGGTTACTATGTAAAGGTTAGCTGATTTCACCTTCAAATGCACTGTAAATATTAGAAGACCTTTCCATATAGTTCCAACACAGCGTCTTCACAGCTTAACCACAGCCAAACAGAAAGCAGCCGTCCCAACAAAAGATGAGCTTAAGCGTTTATCACAGGTTTGCTAATTGACGTTCTATCAGGTAGTCAATTTATCGAGAAAAATGCAGAAGAGCGACTGCTTCAGTTTTACCAAAGAAAAGAAAACAATTGAGCAGCTGGAGCTGGAAAGTTATGCTGCTGACCCGTGTGCAGGCTCCAATAGACCTCATTTCCTCCTCTGTTACCTAGCTCTTTTGTTTCGGAACACGATCTTCCTGTTCATCCCAGGATGTTCCCCCCCCAAAATTGCGAGACTTAAGGTTGAATATTTTGACATGAACACTTGGGTCAAAAGGACTGCACTATTGGAAGAGACGCCGAATCTATGGTAAAAATGTACACACTTGAAAGCATTGATTTAAAGGTGGGTGAATAAGGGAGCCCAGAGATTATGTATTAGTGGCAGATATAGATGTTTTATCAGGCGTTTCACAGTTGGGACACAAGACAAGGTCATAAATAATATCCAACACCTGACAAGTTACGCACAGCAGTAGTCTCAACAACGACAGGTGGCATAGGAGGGCAAAGCAAAGAGTAAGAGGAAAACTGAGCCCAGAAAAAAAGGACAATCAAAGGAGGATACATAACAGAGAAAGAGAGACGAACACAACAACAGACCTGTTTTAGTTGTTTGTAAAAGAAAAATGAAATCTTTTGACACCTTGAGCAGAATATATGTTTACATATATTTCAAACTGTGTCATTTTGTAAGAGCAGCTGACACAAAACAACCTGTTGTGAAACAGGGAAGCAGGAAATGAACCGCCGTCTTTAGCAAAAAATTGAAATAAAAAAAAAAAGCAGGGAGCCTCGCTTCTGCCGACACCTGTCACACCCTCGTTCTAGATTTAACAGATTCTAAATGTCAGACTTTTTGCTGTAAATATAAAGACACTGTCTCTAACCCCACTTTTTAAAGAACACTGAAAAAAGCTCTGTCTGTGCTTTTATGTTTTTTTAACCCCATGTAAATTTTGCACACAGTTTAACTAAACACTAATACTGCCTCTATGCGGTTGTTCTTGTGTACAGTACTAAACTACCAGTGACAGCACTAAGTCACTGCTAGGAATATCAGAGATAAAACACATCCTGTTCCAACGTGGCAGAATAGGTTCAGCTTTTTGAGGGGTTGATGCTATCTTCAAGATCAGAACTAAAGCACAGAATCAAGGGACCTGATGCACTGGTATTGTACCAGTATGTTATATCTCCACCTGATGGCTTATGATATGTTTTCTAAGGCTTCGTACAAATGTATATGTTAAACTGCTTAAGCTTTTCAGATGTCTTCATCTTAAGATGCTTAGATATATATATTTTTTAAAGGTTTGTAATATTTGCTGCTATTTGGCAGTAGTTTTAAACAGTCTACGTCTACAGCAAAGTCATCATCAGCTACATGTGAGCAAACACGTTATTACAACTCAATTTCCAACAACGTCAGAATGCTGTGCAAATTATCAAATACAATGCAATTCCTTGTTCTTCGTTTAATATCTATATTTAATTGAAAGTAATACAAAGGCAACACGAGAGGTTTTGAAATGAAGGAATTTGGGGATCAGGCAACAAAACACAACTAATTAGTTTAGTTTGAATGTGTCACGAGTTCGAAGAGTGTTTCAGAGTAAAGATGTGCCAGAGTTCACTATGCCCAAGGACGTTAGGACAACAAGAAGAAGAATATATTTCTAAATAACAAAAACAACATTTTGATGATTTCATCACCCATTCCTGCTTATCCTTTTTCAGGGTTGCTGGAGCCTATCCCGGCTGTCTTAGGGCGAGAGGCAGGGTACACCCTGGACACGCTGCAAGGCTAACACAGACAACCATTCGCGCCTATGTGCAATTTAGAGTTTCCAATAAAACTAACCCCACGTTTTTGGACATTTGGATCAAGCCAGAGCACCCAGAGAGAACCCAAACAAACACAGGGAGAACATGCAAACTCCACACAGAAACACCCTGGCCTCATGGTGGACTCAGAACCACCACGCCACCGTTCTGCCTCTGAATCACAAAAAAAAAAAATCTTTTGACGATTTCATGATTGATGTTACAAAATACATTTAAAAGAGTCATAAAAAGCTAGTAAGCTCTTTTAACGAGGACCATAAAAACAATATAAAATGGTCACTTTAAAAACAGAAAACAACAACTACAGGGAGTGCAGAATTATTAGGCAAATGAGTATTTTGTCCACATCATCCTCTTCATGCATGTTGTCTTACTCCAAGCTGTATAGGCTCGAAAGCCTACTACCAATTAAGCATATTAGGTGATGTGCATCTCTGTAATGAGAAGGGGTGTGGTCTAATGACATCAACACCCTATATCAGGTGTGCATAATTATTAGGCAACGTCTTTTCCTTTGGCAAAATGGGTCAAAAGAAGGACTTGACAGGCTCAGAAAAGTCAAAAATAGTGAGATATCTTGCAGAGGGATGCAGCAGTCTCAAAATTGCAAAGCTTCTGAAGCGTGATCATCGAACAATCAAGCGTTTCATTCAAAATAGTCAACAGGGTCGCAAGAAGCGTGTGGAAAAACCAAGGCGCCAAATAACTGCCCACGAACTGAGAAAAGTCAAGCGTACAGCTGCCAAGATGCCACTTGCCACCAGTTTGGCCATATTTCAGAGCTGCAACATCACTGGAGTGCCCAAAAGCACAAGGTGTGCAATACTCAGAGACATGGCCAAGGTAAGAAAGGCTGAAAGACGACCACCACTGAACAAGACACACAAGCTGAAACGTCAAGACTGGGCCAAGAAATATCTCAAGACTGGTTTTTCTAAGGTTTTATGGACTGATCAAATGAGAGTGAGTCTTGATGGGCCAGATGGATGGGCCCGTGGCTGGATTGGTAAAGGGCAGAGAGCTCCAGTCCGACGCCAGCAAGGTGGAGGTGGAGTACTGGTTTGGGCTGGTATCATCAAAGATGAGCTTGTGGGGCCTTTTCGGGTTGAGGATGGAGTCAAGCTCAACTCCCAGTCCTACTGCCAGTTTCTGGAAGACACCTTCTTCAAGCAGTGGTACAGGAAGAAGTCTGCATCCTTCAAGAAAAACATGATTTTCATGCAGGACAATGCTCCATCACACGTGTCCAAGTACTCCACAGCGTGGCTGCAAGAAAGGGTATAAAAGAAGAAAAACTAATGACATGGCCTCCTTGTTCACCTGATCTGAACCCCATTGAGAACCTGTGGTCCATCATCAAATGTGAGATTTACAAGGAGGGAAAACAGTACACCTCTCTGAACAGTGTCTGGGAGGCTGTGGTTGCTGCTGCACGCAATGTTGATGGTGAACAGATCAAAACACTGACAGAATCCATGGATGGCAGGCTTTTGAGTGTCCTTGCAAAGAAAGGTGGCTATATTGGTCGCTGATTTGTTTTTGTTTTTGAATGTCAGAAATGTATATTTGTGAATGTGGAGATGTTATATTGGTTTCACTGGTAAAAATAAATAATTGAAATGGGTATATATTTGTTTTTTGTTAAGTTGCCTAATAATTATGCACAGTAATAGTCACCTGCACACACAGATATCCCCCTAAAATAACTAAAACTAAAAACAAACTAAAAACTACTTCCAAAAACATTCAGCTTTGATATTAATGAGTTTTTTGGGTTCATTGAGAACATGGTTGTTGTTCAATAATAACATTATTCCTCAAAAATACAACTTGCCTAATAATTCTGCACTCCCTGTACAACTTGATGTGCTTAAAATCACCTCTAATAGCTGCACAGTTTGGTCCACATTGACATCATGCATCTGGCAGTTGCTGCAGATTTGTCAGCTCCACATCAGC